TTTTTTTTTTTTTTTTTTTTTTAATTTAATTTTTTTTGTTGTTCTGATTAATTAGGTCACTTTTAGAGATCCTGATTCGGCTAGAAGGGCGTGTGCTAATCCTAATCCGATTATTTGTGGGAGGAGGGCTAATTGTAACATCGCCGCCTTCGGCCGGGCTCGTCCTCCTCCGCCGCCGCCGCTGCTACTTGGAGGTTTCCACCCCGATCACCTTCCGTAACTAAATTCCCTTTCCTGAATTTTTTTAATTGGTTGACATTTTAAATTGGTGGAATTGTACAGGACGAAATCAAATTGGGAATCTTCATACTACGAGTGCAGCTGCTGCGTCTTTCGGTGGGTTACTGACGCCGTATCCTCCGCCGCCTTCGTCGCCGCCGCCGCCGCAGATCATGTTCCCAGCGTATAGGTACGTTTGCATGGTCCTGCAACACCCAACAGTGTTTTGGACGGCGACAACTTTTTAAGGAAAAACCATTTTGCTGAACAAGAAGTCAAATGTTTATCCAATTTCAGAAAAAAAAAAAGCTTGTTCTTATCCCTTTTTTTTTATTTTTTTAATTTTAATTTTTTGTTGCAGATACCGATCCTACGCCCCAAATTACACACTTCCTTATCATCAAGTAGGCCATTTTCTGTTAATTTTCAATCATTTATTTATTTTTGAAAAATTATTTTGGTCCCACAACTTTTCTATTTTTAATTTTTTTAATATCTATTTTAATTCAGACCCAATGAACATAAGAGACTATTTGCCTCTAAATAGGTTGACCCAATGTTTAAAAACCATCTCCATGGTTCACATGCTTCAGTTCTTAAGCTTGATTCATTGGACGAACATGTTAACGTTGAACTGTACTTGTTTTGACAGCCTCAATTGTACCAACAGTCACCATGTTCTTCTTCTTATGGCTATGCCTATGGCTATCCTTCTTCTTCTTCACAGTCACCAAGGGTAGCATTTCCCGTACATGGCTACGGGCATGGGCATGCCCATGGCCCTTCTTCTCCATTGTCATCCTCACCCTCCTACTTCCCTTACTATACAAATTACACCCACATGCAACAACCGTTATTCTACGCTCACATGCACCCGATCGCCACTCCCATTACTGGTAAATTTATATAATTCTTCTTCTTTTATTTCATTCATATCATTATATTGATTGCCATTACTGTCTCTAACCTGTGATGAATCAGCTGTCTATGATTACAAGCTATTAGGTTTAAGTAATGAATTTTAATATATTTTTAAAAAATTTATGTTGTTTTTAGACCTGGGTCCGAGAAATCTTTTCAACAAATTCTAAATTTTGAACTGGTCGAGTCATTCACCAAACAATCCGAATACAGTTTTGGTTGAGTTTGGTTGTCGGGTTCTTCTTTTATATATATAAATTATACTTATTGCTTATAATGTATCACTATCATCAGTTACAGACGTCGTTAATTTTTAATGTAAAAGTTACGGTTGAGTTAAATTGTAATTAATTCGAATGTTGGTTCAGGTAGACAGAGTCCAACAGAGACAGAAGGAGGGGCCAGTGGCTCTAATACCCCAAATACTTGTTAGAATTATCTTGTTCATATTATATTATTAATTATAATTATAATTATATTGAACCATATTTTTCTATTTTATTATTTTTCTTAAATATCATCATTTTTTTTTAGTTCACACGCCTTCATTCATCTATTTCGTTTTAATTAACATTATTAATTTTTTCAAAAAACAAAACCATTTTTTAGATTCACGTCTTTTTAAATATTTTTTAAATAATCTATAATCTATCGATAAACAAGTTTTTTTTGTCATATATTGACGGTAATATTTTTCTTAAAATTTTTTTTACAGAGCTGAAAATGTCGATGATATTTTTTTAGATTTTATGGGTATTTTTAAATTATTTTATTAATGGTAAGAATATTTTTGAAGTTTTTACAAAGTTGAATGGTAGTTTTTATAATATTTTTGGTATTTCTATTTAAAATTAAAATATTTTTTTAGATTTTTATTTTTTATTTAAGGATGAACTAAATTAAATAATAATAATAATAATAAAATTTTAAGTTTATGTTTTTTATATTTATTAATTTAGTCTTAAAAATGAATTATTTTAGTTCGTTTATTTTTATTTCATTTTTTTCAATTGAAATTTGAGCATGATATTTTATTTATTAAATTTCTTAAAATAAATTTTCTTTCTACAAATATAAATCAAAATAAAAAATATCATAGTAATCAAATTAGAAGTGGATCAAAACCAATAATGAAAAATAAAATGATTAATAAAAATGATGTCACATGACCAACCATCTCCTTCTCTCAAACTTACTAAAATCTCTCACGGGACAAACGAGCATAAACACCGATAAGTTACAGGATAGTACAACGCGACCAAGCCCACTAACTCGGAGACCAACATCAACGTTGGGTAGTAGGGAGCAACGACGTTTGTGGACCGTAAATGGGCTAGTGAATCGACCAAGCCCATTAACCCAGAGACTAAGTTACTGAGTTTTCGACGCATATGAATCCTGAATTCGATTGTCGTCCCAATCATTGTAGGACAAAAATCGCTCATCCACGTCTTATAAATTATTTTCAAATTTTTTTACGTTACTTTTGAAAGTTCATGCGAACGTGATACTAATAATAAAAATATTTATTTTTTTTTAACTATAAAGGTGTTTTTGAAGATTTGTGGTATTTAATCAAACCTTTGAAAACTAGTAATAAAAATATTTTTAATTTTTAAAAAATTTAATGATATTCAAAGATTTATTTTTTTTAGAATAAAAATATTAGTGAAATTCTATATATATATTTATTATTTTTTGGAAGTGAAAAAAGTGAATTGGGATGGGAAATAATAATTGAATTTTAAATGGAAAAAGCATAAAGTGAGGACAATAATAGGTTGGCGCAGAAGAATCTGTACGCCAAAATAAAATGTCCTTGCTCTTATCCAAAATGCCCTATGGGCTCACTGTTCGGGTCGCCTTTCCTTCCCGACATGTCGTTCTTTTAATACCATCACTTTTTGCTTTGAACCATGTGGAAGAACGAGACTCTTAAATCTAAAATATATATAAAAAAAGAAATTTCAAGAACTATAAGAATCAAGGATTACCTTGATGATTATAAAAGTAAATAAAACTTGTTTTGAAACTCGTGATTTGAATTATTCTACAATATATAGTTTGATCGAGAGTACTTGAATGACTCTTCCATGTAAATCTAAACACAAAAAATGTAAAGGAACAAGCTCGTGACAAAATCTTCGTAATAAACCAATAACATTTTACAGAACTTTTTTATGATTGTTAATGTCATAATAGTTACTTGTTTCATCGTGATATGATTATAAAATTGATGCATAGATGTATTGAATTGAAAATGGAATTGTTGGGTTTTAATTTTTTTAATGGGATAGTTTGAGATTCACATGGGCAATGGAATTTGTGGACAGACAGGACACTTTGATTCATCATCGGAGGGTGTTCTGTTGAGCATCTCATTCCCAACACAACACATCCCACGAAATGTTCTTGTCTTGTTTCCTTCAATTATTTGAATTCATATTCAATTGTGTAGATGAAGGATTGAATTATGGAGATAGCCAACCCATACTCTAAAAGTTTTGTAGATTTGCTATTAATAATGGAGTTATGGAGTTGGAAGAATCTTGTGCATTCATTCAAATTCGACAACTTCAAATCGGTATACACAATTAATGGGTGTAAGAAGTAATTCGACACTCTTTATAAGACTTTTTTCTAGTAGACGCGTTTTAAAGTCTTGAGTAGAAGACTGAAAGAGAAAGTCCAAAGAAGACAATATATTAGCGGTGGGCTTATGACAATTATAAGTACTCGCATTACTATAACTCATTCGACCGGAAGTTGGTTGGGTATTGACTTGGGCAAATGGCTTGGCTGGTGGCCCTTTAGTTTCCAGGAAGCTGCAGGGGTAAGCGTGAGCCAAGGGCGGCGTGGCATTGACTTGGGCAAATCCCAACAGCCCCACAATCCGAAGGCATTCACCTAAATCGCCTCCACTCTTCACGGACATGTCTCTTCCTCTGCCCATCCACCTCCTCTGTACTCATCTTTTTGCAATGTGATATAATTACATACCAAAATTAAATTAAAACTTAATTTAATAGGAATAATTTATCACGTGACAAAATGTGATTGGACTATTGAGCTGTAGTAATATATGTATATATATATATATATATATATATATATATATATATATATATATATATATAACAACCCAGACAACAAAATTTAAGGATTAGATCTGAAAAAGGAGATAAAGTTTAATTTAATCCAATTTATATTGGGTTTGTGAGGGGTTTTGGAGGCAGTCACGAGAGAAGAACAGCTTTTGAGCCACGACCGGACAGACAAAGAGAATCTAAAAATTAGGGTATTTTGGTCAAAAACCAATCCCTTATTATCCTCCTCCTCCGTTCTATGCGGCCTACCAACGACCTCACATTTCAATTGTAACAATTCGATTTTCCTTTTAGGTTTATCTTCGAGGTTTTATAGCACGAGAGAGAGAGGATCTAGTCCTGCTCTGATACCATTTGTAATAATTCTAGTATACCGTTAGTAGATATTGTTTTCTTTAAACTTTACTTTATGACTTCCCCTCAAAATTTTCACACCTTTCGTCATCAGTGTATGTCGTTCTTCTTTTGGATAAGGTTTACACTCAATTTTGTTGGGACTTTATTTATGGATTTACTTTCTTTCCTTTAGTATTTAATAATCTAAATTTCATTTGATTTAAGTTGGTGAATTATTTTAAATTTTAGTCTAAAATTATTCTAAAATTTAAACGATTTACTCGAGAATTATTATGGTTTAAATCATATAAATGTAGAAATTGATAGATATTCTATAGTTTTTTTTTTTATTTTTTTTAACAGGATAAATAAAAATAACTTTTGGAAAGGAAATTTTGAAATTAGGTTTTGAATTTGAGAATTATTTGGGCTTTGCCAGCTGGGAGGTCCAGTAAGACTTTCACTGGAAGGGGTTACCAATCGACAGGCTCTACGTGGAATTATGACAGAGGAATTAAATTACAAAAAACTGGGAGCGTCAAATATCACGTGCACATCACGTGTTTATTACCATTGGATACCGACTACCGATTGCCAGTTGGATTCTTTTACGCCTCTCGATGATGAATTTACACATTCATGCACTGCCTCCAGCCTGTCAATTTCCCTTTTTTAATTTCCCCATTTTGCCCCTACCTCCAACCTTTCTCTCAGTGGTATTCTCGACCTCTTAAAAAGTCATGCCTACTGTATCTAAGCTGTAATGCTTTTTGTTCCGTAGCGAAATCAAAACGGAACAAAAAAAAAAAAAAAAAAAA